AAATTTTTGCCACAGCACCGTCAACTTAGACAAATCTGGTTAAATCTCAGGGGGAAATTGGTAAGTTTTAAATTAAATTTTATTGACTATCCTCCTTGCGTCGATAATCCTGAATGCTGAGGGTCGTGCTTTTGGAAGAGATTCTGGAGAGTTCTTCGAGGCTGCTGAAGCATTTGGGTCCGGCTTATTAACCGCCGCCAGACATTCGGCGTTGACTGTTTTACGGTGGAAAGGTCTCTCCATTGTCTATGATCACCTTAATATATTTAATTAACATGTTCCCTGCAGTATGAGGTCAGATTGACCCACATTGATTCCATATTGAACTTTCATGTGATGGATGGAGCTCATTCGGTTTCTGCGAGTCCTAGAAATAAATTGAAACTAATTTATAGCTTAATAAATCCGAGATTAAACAGTAAAATCACTTGTAATTGTAGGTAGGACCTCTTGTGAGCTCGCATCGGTAGGTACCACCACCCTGCCTATTTCTGCCGTGAAGCAGTGATGCGTTTCGGTTTGAAAGATGGGGTAGCCGTTGTAACTATACTTGAGACCTTAGAACTTATATCTCAAGGTGGGTGTGGCATTTACGTTGTATATGTCTATGGGCTCCAGTAACCACTCAATACCAGGTGGTCTGTAAGCTCATCCACCCATCTTAGCAATAAAAAATGCATAGATTAGAAGATACGTTGCAAAAAATTGCGAATTAAAAAATGACTTCATACTTTTAAACCTATTCAGCTTTCTATTACGCTCTACCCTCAAATATCTATAATCCCTTTATTAAGGGTGCACCTGATTCGTCCGTCATTAATCGCAGCCCATCTGTGTGCCGTGAGGGATTGCTCCACAATCCCTTCTGACGTATTGCAGGGTACTACTGCACTGACTTGCGCTAATAGCAGGGTGAGTTTGAATAGAGCTCGACTTGCACAGGGGCGATATTACGACTGTGTGGGTACACTTGATGCATTCGTTGTTTGAAAAAGTTATTTTTAATTATCATCTACCCACCTGTGATTCACGGAATGGACGAAAATTGCGCGGACGGAGGAGTATGAAATTTTCCACACTTATAGAGAATATAGAGAAGAAGCGCACAATGATAATATTTTTTTTAAATAATGCATAAAAGATATATTAAATCAATAAAGAAAACAATACACACACTACATACCATGTATTTGACGCACACACGCATGCATACTATTTATTTATTGTCAAACTTTTGTTCTTGACGTCTGTTGTCAAATTGAGAATAGATTAAATATTGTTTGTCTTTGTTAATATTTTTTATAGTGTGGTCTTGGCGAAATTTATGATTATAGAAGTATAAAATACAATCATAATAGTGTACAAACTTACAATTCCAATTAATTATAGTCGAATTTCGACTACTGCGGGACCTCTAGTAAAATTGAAATCTTCGTGGCAATAATAGGCTGGCAATAATAGGCTATTATTCGTGGCGATCTGTAAAATTCCCCACCACTCCTGAATGTGGGGCTAAGGTTGTGGCTAGGAAACTAAGCGAGCGTAATAATACGATCTTTGGAAGAAAATAAATCTCTGTCTCCCTGTTTTAGCCAATTTTAACATTTAATAACCAATAGCGGATGTAATACCACGGATCAGTGCGTCATCAGACGACTTCCGGTCACCGGATGACGCTAGGAATCAATGTATAAACTCATCTCTGGTTTCCGTGAAACGATATCTTCATTCCTTTTAATGTTTGGAAAAGAGAAACGGAAATTCGTCTTTATATATTACTAGAGGTCCCGCAGTAGTCGAAATTCGACTATAATTAATTGGAATTGTAAGTTTGTACACTATTATGATTGTATTTTATTCTTCTATAATCACAAATTTCGCCAAGACTACACTATAAAAAATATTAACAAAGACAAACAATATTTAATCTCAATTTGACCACAAACGTCAAGAACAAAAGTTTGACAATAAATAGCATGCATGCGTGTGTGCGTCAAATACATGGTATGTAGTGTGTGTAATGTTTTCTTTATTGATTTAATGTATCTTTTATGCATTATTTTAAAAAAATATTAGCATTGTGCACTTCTTCTCTATATTATCTATAAGTGCGGAAAATTTAATACTCCTCCGTCCGCGCAATTTTCGTAAAAAGGGATACAAGTTTTTACTTCACGTATTAATATATAGAGATATATTTTCTGTTTTTACTGACGGATGGATACAGATAAAATAGTTTTCTTGTTTATTTATTCTCATCTTTATCACATCAAGCTTTCTTAAAATTATTATAGGAATATTTTAGCGTTTATATGATCGACAAGCAAAACAACCCTCCTGTGGTAAGTGATAATAGAAAAAGACCATTCCATCCGCCGGGTGACATTGTCCCACTCTATCGACCACTTTCTTATCAGTCTACACTTGATGTTTCCGCGGAAGTCACTCCCCTATTTCCCTCCGATAAGCTCTCCCTGGAGAGTGCTATCTGTTTGACACCCTCCCGGTTTTTATCAGGCGCGTGTTTATTTTTTTATGATCAATGTTCCTTTGATACGAACACTCGATGCCTCTTTGCTGTTTTAGAGCGTACGTATCGTATGCTTAGGAAGCTGCTTTTCCATGAAGCTAGCATTCCAATGCTTAACTGCTAACTTCTGCTCATAGTCGACCACATGTCTAAACTAGCTTTGTGGAGAGTACTCAATGGTAAACAACGGCTTGGCAATGCCTCCGACGTCTGTGAGCGATGGTAACCACCCACCATAAGGCCGTTTGATCATTTGCCCACAAGAACAATAAAGAAAAGCTACGTGAATTGTACTACTTTTCCTACTAAATGCTAAAAAAGTTGGAGGTTTTTTAAAACAACTTTTTAATTCATAAAAAATAGTATTCTTATCCAAAAACGTTAGACGGTCAATCAATTCTTTGTTTAATGTTTTCAAAGGTCTTTTGAGATACAGATTTTCTCAATTCATGGCCAGATATACCGTGATTTCGTTACGTAAAAGATGTAGATGCAAAATGATTAAGACATACCTCCTGAATGGTGTTAGGACCTCTTGTGTGTCCGCACGGGTAGGTACCACCACCCTGCCTATTTCTGCGTTGAAGCAGTAATGCGTTTCGGTTTGAAGGGCGGGGCAGCCGTTGTAACTATACTTGAGACCTTAGAACTTATATCTCAAGGTGGGTGGCGTATTTACATTGTAGATGTCTATGGGCTCCAGTAACCACTTAACACCAGGTGGGCTGTAAGCTCGTCCACCCACATAAGCAATAAAAAAAATGAATGCAAGTGTTAATTCATTTTAATTTAAATAAAAACAAGTCAAACACGTATTCAATGATAGTTAATCCCAAGCGGGGGTCCGATGCACCCCTGCAGTCCCCGGGGGCGGTTTATCGCGCGCCGCCCTTGAGGGTTGTGTCAATAGAATTAAATCGATGTTTGGTTAGAGAATACAATTTTGATTAGCATATTTTATAACTGAGTTCAGAAAATAGAGATTCGGGGTTCGTGTCGTGAAGTGGGAATGAGTTACTCGCTCCAGGCATTTCAATAATGCAATAATTGTAACGTGATAATACTCATTGTAAAAATGAATATTTAAAAAAAAAATCTAATATTAAAAAAAAAAGACATGCCCGCTGAGTTTCTCGCCAGTTCTTCTCGGGACGGAGGCTAGTTCTTGTGAATTGGCGGTAGTTCTTTTGACGTTCAACAAGTATGTACTTTCATTTATGTTGAATAATTTTTTTTTGATTTGATTTGATTTAAAATACGATTTTATTACAGATAGCGGCCAGCTCCGGCTCCGCTCGGGTCTTTAACCAAAAATTCAACGATATTTAATTTTGACGTTGTTTTATTTTTTTAAACAAAATAACACTTATTGCGTCATAACTATAATAGTTAGACATATGCTGTCGCGATACTTTTTGTAATCAGTAATGTGTTCTACAAAGTCGTAGTACATTATTTTATTTTATCATCAATAGTTTTCGCAGGGCACGCGATGTAAAGAATATTTTAGGTAATTTTTTTACACCTTGGGTTACATTATTGGAGTTTTAGTAAGGATCCCTAATTTTTTTCAAAACAGACTATAGCCTATGTCACTCGGGAATAGTGTAGCTTCCAAACAGTGAAATAATTTTTCAAATAGGTTCAGTAGTTTCGGAGCCTGTTCAATACAAACAAACAAACAAATATTTCCTCTTTATAATATTATAGCATAGAAGTATAGATGAAAAAAACCATAGTTTTGATACGGCTGTCACTATGGTTCAGAACCCTCAGACACAGCCCACTGAGCTTCACGCCGGATCTTCTCAGTGGGTCGCGTTTCCGATCCGGTGGTAGACTCTGCGAAGCACTGCTCTTGCTAGGGTCAGTGTTAGCAATGTCCTGTAATTGGAGCCTCATGAGCTCACCTATTCGCCCGGCTACCCTGGCGTAACTCCCTAGGAACCAGCTTGGGTAGTAAAAATAGATGTGTGGTATCGTGGGACACCGGATAGGAGTGAAGTTATTTAATATAAATAAATTATTATTTATTATTTATAAAGAAAATAATTATTCGGGTATACATTTTTTATTATGATTTTTTTATTGACAAAAAAAAAAAACTACATTACAAAATTATCAACTTTATTTTATTCACAATGATTTATAAAAATATATATAATAATAATATACAAAGAAACAGCTATTTATATGAATAATAATAATAACCGTCGTCACGTAGACTATACATTAGACACTGTATAGCCATAATACTAAGACTATACATAAATAATAAAAATCTTACGTTACGGACGTTTTTTCCCGGTTACGGTACCCCTCCGCATCGTCCCATAAAAAATAATCGTTCAGATGATTTTCCTAGTCTTCCTGGTGTCAGTAAAGTATATGAAACGTCTGAAATGAAATAATCTTGTGTACTGTGAATATCAGCGTTGCAGCATGTCCTAAATGACTGTGACTTCCTCAGGGCATCCTCACTTCTTCAACCAGCTGTCGTGCGGCCTGGACGTGATATCTCTGGCCGGGGAGTGGCTGACGGCTGCTGCAAACACCAACATGTTCACGTACGAGATAGCCCCGGTCTTCATCTTGATGGAAAACATTGTGTTGGAGAAGATGCGCAACATGATCGGGTGGAAGACTGGCGATTCTATACTGGCACCTGGTGAGTTTTCATCGTGCACTGCTGACTTTAAAACCAAGAGAGATAATTGATAATATATGTAGGAACGGAATGGAGCGATATGGATGAATGACAGATGTGGAGCATGACTGAGTGAGAGAGATAGGAGATGTCGTGTTAGGAAGTAAGAAAGACGGTGAATTAATACAGAACGCCTAGTTTTATTTTCATAAGCAACAGGAAGAAATTGGGGCCAGAAAGTTCTTGAATGGCGACCGCGTACCGGAAGACGTAGCGTGGGTAGGCCTCCCACAAGATGGGCCAACGATCTATCGAGGTTTGCGGGAATCCGCTGGATGCAGGCAGCGCAGGACCGGTCTTTGTGGCGAGGCTTGGGGGAGGCCTATATCCAGCAGTGGATGTCTGTGGGCTGATAAGAAGAAGCAACAGGAGAGTAGTTCCTGGACGCGACGACGCGCAGACGCAGTGTAACCCGGAAGGCGAAAGACGTTTGTATTTGAGTTACTTATAATAAGACGAAATGAAGCATCAAGTTTTTGTAAAGTGATCAACCGTTTCACTGGCCTAATTAAAAAACCCCACATATATTTCTATGGTTCTTTCAACAGGCGGCTCTGTGTCCAATCTCTACGCTTTCCTGGCTGCTCGTCACCACAAGTTCCCGCAGTACAAAGAGAAGGGTCTCACCAGCATCCCTGGGCACCTAGTAATGTTTACTTCGGACCAGGTAGCCGATCGGTTATAAATTTTATTCAGGGCTCTCCGCCCCGACTATCTGTTAAATAAAATCTTAGCTGTTAATCATCTTATCTGTTTTTAGTTCAACTATCCCTAAGTGGTTATAGGGCAAACGCGACGTGAATACATGTTTTGAGGTACGGGGCCGAAATCTTTTTTTTTATGGCTTAGATGGGTGGACGACACAGCCCACCTGGTGTGAAGTGGTTACTGAAGCCCATAGACATCTACGACGTAAATGCGCCGCCCACCTTGAGACATAAGTTCTAAGGTCTCAATGTAGTTACAAAGGGTGCCCTACCCTTCAAACCGAAACGCATTACTGCTTCACGACAGAAATAGGCAGGGGTGGTGGTACCTACCCGTGCGGACTCACAAGAGGTCCTACCACCAGTAATTGCGCAAATCATAATTTTGCGGGTTTCATTTTTATTACACGATGTTATTCCTTCACCGTGGAAATCAATCGTGAACATTTGTTGAGTACGTATTTCATTAGAAAAATTGGTACCCGCCTGAGGGATTTGAACACTGGCGCATCGCTCAACACGAATGCGCCGGACGTCTTATCCGTTAGGCCACGACGACTTAAAGGTTTTTCAATATCACCTATATACCTAGACCTATATCAATATAACCTAAAAGTCCTAAAACGACTGTTTTAGGTTATATTGACGAAATTAGTTTGGACTACGTAAATATGTGAGGTATTGTATATTACACTGTCACTAACCACTCTAGTCATTAAATATATTCAATTTCCTAACTCAGCATACTTCAATCAGTTAACAACTGCTCAATTCATATCATACCCTGTGCCTATGCTAGCGCCATTCTGGAGGATTTTTGAGCTGTTATTTAGTGCTGAAAGTGGGACACTTATTCAAGGTTCTCCTTACCTCTACCCTCCATAGCTTTCTCTCACTCACACCTTAACGCTCCGTTCCACACTCTGTTCATACGTTCCGTTCTTACCAATCCTACATTAATCTACAGCGCCACTGAATGAAGTCTTCTATTTTAGTGTCACTACTCTGTGAAGTCCTGCGCTTCGGTCTGCGGCCTGGGCACAGACTACTGTGTGTGCGTGCCTTCGGACGAACGCGGTAGGATGATACCTGCCCAGCTGGAGCGCCTTGTCCGCTACCACAAGGACAAGGGCCACGTGAGTAGAACGTCTCATAGATAACTGCCGTTGTCAATGTGACAAATGTTTTCATAAAGCTGTTTGGGAGAACTAGCAGCTCTAGATGACTTAAACAAAAACATTTACTGGCGGTAGGACCTTCTGTGAGTCCGCACCGGGTAGGTACCACCACCCTGCCTATTTCTGCAGTGAAGCAGTAATGCGTTTCGGTTTGAAGGGTGGGGCAGCCATTGTAACTATACTGAGACCTTAGAACTTATATCTCAAGGTGGGTAGCGCATTTAGGTTGTAGATGTCTCTGAGCTTCAGTAACCACTTAACGCTATGTGGGCTGTGAGCTCATCCACCCATAAAAGCAATAAAAAAAAATGTTAGAGACTTTTACTGTTAGCGATATTGACAGTTCGCAAGACTAGTTGGGCGTATATTTATAGCTCATGACTCAACATTGTGTCGGCTGCGAGAACGTAAGGAAATGAAGGTTAGAGTGTGTTAGATCCTTCGGGAGACGGTTGAACAGCCATTTTAATAGCGCCTGTACAACAAAATCCTACAGGATGTTCAGAACCTACATATACATAGGTTTAAGAAAACTATTAAAGAACATCTGTGCAATAAAGCTTACTATAAAGTCAATGATTATCTAGAAGATTGCACAAAGTGGGAATGAGTTGCTCGCTCCGGGAATTTCAATATTGCAATAATTGTTACGTTATAATACTCATTGTAAAAATGAATATTTAAAAAAATAATCTAATATTTAAAAAAAAAGACATGCCCGCTGAGTTTCTTGCCAGTTCTTCTCAGGACGGAGGCTAGTTCTTGTGAATTGGCGGTAGTTCTTTTTGATGTTCAATAAGTATGTATGTACTTTCATTTATGTTGAATATTTTTTTTTATTTGATTCGATTTGATTTAATTCCTCTGGCAACATCATACTATTAAATTATTAAAATCTGCACACTTCAATCTGTTCACAACTCACACATTCGTACTATACCACTTGCTACGTTACGCAGCGCTATTTCGGTGGATTTTTATGTTGCTGCGCACTGTCGAAGACTTTTTCAATTTGTCTCCTGTATGTGACAGCTCTCCTTGCCTCTACCCTTCAATGGTTTATATAACATGCAGTTCTAAAGTTGACCGCACATCACAATTGTTACGTACATAAAATATATAATAATATAAAAAAACACTTTTTATCTACTTATGCAATTATAATTAGACAATAATAATTTAATACAAAAACAATAATAAAATAAGACCACGCTATATTTATAAACATTAACAAAAGCAAAACATTAACTGTCCCCTTCACACTCATAAGCTAGACCGCGCGAGACAGAGATGGGCAGACTTTTCATGATGAGCATGTAGGGCGACGTCACGCCGCGCGCTTATTCACAAACACTACACAAGCGCAACGTGTGAATGTGTTGAACGCGAGCTACATGGTAGGCGGAGTGAGGGGTATTAGGTTTTATTTTCGTTACGGAATTTCTTGATTCGGTCGCCGCGCTCAAAGTCCGCGATAAAAGCTATGCAATAGCTTAAACATATTATGTGTGTTGTGATAAATAAGACAAAAGGGCCATAACGTACCTTATGCAATACTTTGTACATTTAATAACCAAAATCTTTCCTCGGTACAAACCGATTTTTGCAACGTACGAATTGCCTGCTAAACTTTTCCCTGCAATCTGACCTTACCGTTTTCGAATATAAATCATGCCATCTTGTTCTTTGTCAAGATATAGAAAATGTTGCGAAAATCTCGAAGAGTAAGGCCATCTATCGCCGAATAGTCGAACGAATATCGAAGGATCTAGTAGCACCTAGAACGCTCGAGAAGTACAATGCCATCGATTGTCACATAGCGGAAACATAATACTAGAAATGTGTGGAATATTCTCGATAATTTTAGGGATGTCATATCGGCTATAAAAGCGTTACAGAGATGGCACGCAGTCAGTCAGTAATCGGAACTACTCGAAGCGAAACAGCAAAGGGATCACCTGAAGCGAAGCGGAAGAAGCAAATTGAGAGTTTTAAAGAATTTGTTGAGTGCTTTAAGTGTTCTAAGTGTTGAATACGTGTTGAATACAGTTTTAAGTTGTACTCCGGTAGAATTTTTATTCATCTCGAACCCCAGCGCGTAACGTTATGAAATGCAATGTGATAGCAATTAATTAAATGAATATGTGCCAAATCGTTGAGTGTCGGTTCGCTTCTGGCAGGTCCCATTCTTCGTGAACGCCACTTCGGGGACAACGGTGCTCGGTGCCTTCGACCCACTCAGCGAGATTGCCGACATCTGTGAGAAGTATGACATGTGGATGCACGTGGATGTGAGTTCCAAAAACCTGCCCACTGAGTTTCTCGCCGGATCTCCTCAGTGGGTCGCGTTTCCGATCCGATGGTAGATTCTGTGAAGCACGGCTCTTGCTAGGGTCAGTGTTAGCAACGTCATCAGGTTTGAGGCCGGAGAGCTCACCTACACGCTAGGGTAACGCTGATATAACCTCTCAAGGCTTTCAGCATAGGTAGAAAAAAAAACAAATACCTAGGCAAGATGTATCTTATTCTTTTTTGATGGCGAACAGATTGAGTTCTCATCGTTCTGCCGATTTCTGCCCCAAAGAAGTCATGAGGTTCATTTTAAATGGTAAGAGAGTCATCTTGAGCGTGTGACAGCATTAGGTTGTGCTGGTTGGTTGTGAACCGGGTCACGCTTCACTGGAACTGCCGCTGAGTGTACTCAACTCCTGGCGTGTCACCTGGCGTCTGCTAGTGGAAAAGAAACTTACCCTGAAGTGCCAGCAACTGAATTAAAATTCGTCGCCATCGGACTAAGGGCTTAGGAACGCATAAAGGACCACATGCAGAATTTGGGTTTTTTAAAATAAATATATAGATTATTGTGTGAATTGTCGATTTTTGAAATAGTTTACCACAGTTGAACTCTTCCAATATATACCTTTCGAGTCTATTAATAGATTTAAAATTTAGGGCTAATCCAAAATTTTCAATGATTTGTTCAGAAAATTCAATGTTTCCCAGGCTGCTTGGGGCGGAGGCCTGCTGTTCTCGAAGAAATACCGTCACCCTCGGCTAACCGGCATCGAGAGGTGAGTCTGAGATGACATCTCTGAGTCAAACTATGTGTTAAGTTACTATTCGTGATGTTAAGTTTAACCCAGTAAGTTTCTCGCTGGATTTTTTAAATTTTTTTTATTTCCCTAGTAGGCAGACGAGCATACGGCCCACCTGATGCTGAGTGGTTACCGTTGCCCATGGACTTCAGCAATGCCAGGGGCAGAGCCAAGCCGCCGCCTACCGCTTAATACTCTCCACAAGCCTCTTTTAAAGAAGGACATGTCATAGCGCTCGGGAAACACCGTGGAGGGGATCTCATTCCATAGCCGGATGGTACGTGGCAAATCCTCTGTGGATCCTCTTAGTAGGTCGCGAATTCCGCTGACAACTACCTATTTTTTAAATAAATATATATCTATCAGATGTTCACAAACATCTTCGCTGTAAGATGAACATTAAATGACAAAATCAAAACATGCTCAACAAAACTGTGTTATGGGTACCGGAAACTGACAAACATACATACGTTTAAATATATACATATATAGATAATAAACACCCTGACAAAGAGCAAAAAAAACTGTTCATCACACAATGTTTGCCCGATGTGGGAGTCGAACCCATGATCCTTGGCGCAAAAGTTAGGAGCGTTGCTACTCTATCATCGAGTCAGTTTAATGCTTTTGTCCAGACAATTTATGAAAAGGTTTTATTACTTGTTTCAAGAATTCAAACTTTATTTTAGTTATTTGGGACCTAAATCATTTTTTTTATGGCTTAGATGGGTGTTAAGGGGTTGCTGGAACCCATAGACATTTACGACGTAAATGTGCCACCCACCTTGAGATATAAGTTCTAAGGTCTCAAGTATAGTTACAACGGCTGCCCCACCCTTCAAACCGAAACGCATTACTGCTTCACGGCAGAAATAGGCGAGGTGGTGGTACCCATCCGCGCAGACTCACGAGAGGTCCTACCACCAGTAATTACGCAAATTACAATTTTGCGGGTTTCATTTTTATTATACGATGTTATTCCTTCACCGTGGAAGTCAATCGTGAACATTTGTTAAGTACGTATTTCATTAGATAAATTGGTACCCGCCTCAGATTCGAACACCGGTGCATCGCTCAACACGAATGCACCGGACGTCTTATCCGTTAGGCCACGACGACTTCATATATAGTTACAGTTAGAGTCGACTATTATCAAAGCCGGCAATGTGACTTTTGGACAATTATTGGTAAATCAGAAAAACGAATTATTGACTTTGTATTCCATTGGCAGTCACAAAACTCTTCTGAACGACATCTTAGATAAATAACAGGTTAACTATTAACCTTTATTTAATGCAGGTTTTGAACCGTATTCTTTGAAGGAGACGATTATATTCAAANACATAGTAAAAAAAAAAAAAATTATAGTATTTGTAAAAAAAAAAAAAAATGTAATTGTCTGAATAAAGGCTTTATTATTATTATTATTAATACTAATTTAAAAAAAATCTAATATTAAAAAAAAATACATGCCCGCTGAGTTTCTCGCCAGTTCTTCTCAGGACGGAGGCTAGTTCTTGTGAATTGGCGGTAGTTCTTTTGACGTTCAACAAGTATGTACTTTCATTTATGTTGAATAATTTTTTTTTGATTTGTTTTGATTTAAAATACGATTTTATTACAGATAGCGGACCACTCCGGCTCCGCTCGGGTCTTTAACAAAAATTTCAACGATATTTAATTTTGACGTTGTTTTATTTTTTAAAATAAAAGAACACTTATTGCGTCATAACTATAATAGTTAGACATATGCTGTCGCGACACTTTTTGTAAATAATAATGTGTTCTACAAAGTCGTAGTACATTATTTTATTTTATCATCAATAGCTTTCGCAGGGCACGCGATGTAAAGAATACCTATTTTAGGTAATTTTTTTACACCTTGGGTTACATTATTGGAGTTTTAGTAAGGATCCCTAAATTTTTTTCAAAACAGACTATAGCCTATGTCACTCGGGAATAGTGTAGCTTTCAAGCAGTGAAAGAATTTTTCAAATAGGTTCAGTAGTTTCGGAGCCTATTCAATACAAACAAACAAACAAATCTTTCCTCTTTATAATACTAGCATAGAAGTATAGATGTAAAAACAATCGTTTTGATACGGCTGTTACTATGGTTCAGAATCCTCAGACACAGCCCACTGAGTTTCTCGCCGGATCTTCTCAGTGGGTCGCGTTTCCGATCCGGTGGTAGATTCTGCGAAGCACTGCTCTTGCTAGGGTCAGTGTTAGCAACGTTCTCTAATTGGAGCCTCATGAGCTCACCTATTCGCCCGGTTATCCTGGCGTAACTCCCTAGGAACCAGCTTGGGTAGTAAAAATAGATGTGTGGTGTCGTGGGACACCGGATAGGAAGGAAGTTCCTTATTATAAAAATATTAATTTTAAGTTCTATTACTAACCTTTTGTGAGTCCGCGCGGGTGGGTACCATCACCCTGCCTATTTCTGCCGTGAAGCAGTAATGCGTTTCAATTTGAAGGGTGGGGCAGCCGTTGTAACTATACTTGAGACCTTAGAACTTATATCTCAAGGTGGGTGGCCCATTTACATTGTGGATGTCTATGGGCTCCAGTAACCACTTAACACCAGGTGGGCTGTGAGCTCGTCCACTCATCTAAGCAATAAAAAAATAAAAAAAGGTATAAAGAAAATAATAATTTTTTATTATGATTTTTTTATTGACAAAAATAAAATAAAAACTACTTTACAAAATTATCAAATTTATTTTATTCACAATGATTTATAAAAATATATAATAATAATATACAGAGAAACAGCTATTCATATGAATAATAATAATAACCGTCATCACGTAGACTATACATTAGACACTGTATAGCCATCATACTAAGACTATACATAAATAATAAAAATCTTACGTTACGGACGTTTTTTCCCAGTTACGGTACCCCTCCGCATCGTCCCATAAAAAATAATCGTTCAGATGATTTTCCTAGTCTTCCTGGTGTCAGTAAAGTATATGAAACGTCTGAAATGAAATAATCTTGTGTAGTGTGAATATCAGCGTTGCAGCATGTCCTAAATGACTGTGACTTCCTCAGGGCATCCTCACTTCTTCAACCAGCTGTCGTGCGGCCTGGACGTGATATCTCTGGCCGGGGAGTGGCTGACGGCTGCTGCAAACACCAACATGTTCACGTACGAGATAGCCCCGGTCTTCATCTTGATGGAAAACATCGTGCTGGAGAAGATGCGCAACATGATCGGGTGGAAGACTGGCGATTCTATACTGGCACCTGGTGAGTTTTCATCGTGCACTGCTGCCTTTAAAACCAAGAGAGATAACTGATAATATATGTAGGAACGGAATGGAGCGATATGGATGAATGACAGATGTGGAGCATGACTGAGTGAGAGAGATAGGAGATGTCGTGTTAGGAAGTAAGAAAGACGGCGAATGAGTATTCATTCGCCGTCTTGTATAGAACGCCTAGTTTTATTTTCATAAGCAACAGGAAGAAATTGGGTCCAGAAAGTTCTTGAATGGCGACCGCGTACTGGAAGACGTAGCGTGGGTAGGCCTCCCACAAGATGGGCCAACGATCTATCGAGGTTTGCGGGAATCCGCTGGATGCAGGCAGCGCAGGATCGGTCTTTGTGGCGAGGCTTGGGGGAGGCCTATATCCAGCAGTGGACGTCTGTGGGCTGATAGGAAGAAGCAACAGGAGAGTAGTTCCTGGACGCGACGACGCGCAGACGCAGTGTAACCCGGAAGGCGAAAGACGTTTGTATTTGAGTTACTTATAATAAGACGAAATGAAGCATCAAGTTTCAACCGATGTGGTCAACCGTTTCACTGGCCCACCCTGATTAAAAAACCCCACATATATTTCTATGGTTCTTTCAACAGGCGGCTCTGTGTCCAATCTCTACGCTTTCCTGGCTGCTCGTCACCACAAGTTCCCGCAGTACAAAGAGAAGGGTCTCACCAGCATCCCTGGGCACCTAGTCATGTTTACTTCGGACCAGGTAGCCGATTAGTTATATATTTTATTCAGGGCTCTCCGCCCCGACTATCTGTTAAATAAAATCTTAGCTGTTAATCATCTTATCTGTTTTTAGTTCAACTATCCCTAAGTGGTTATAGGGCAAACGCGACGTGAATACATGTTTTGAGGCACGGGGCCGAAATCTTTTTTTTTATGGCTTAGATGGGTGGACGACACAGCCCACCTGGTGTGAAGTGGTTACTGAAGCCCATAGACATCTACGACGTAAATGCGCCGCCCACCTTGAGACATAAGTTCTAAGGTCTCAATGTAGTTACAACGGCTGCCCTACCCTTCAAACCGAAACACATTACTGCTTCACGGCAGAAATAGGCAGGGTGGTGGTACCCACCCGCGCGGACTCACAAGAGGTCCTACCACCAGTAATTGCGCAAATTATAATTTTGCGGGTTTCATTTTTATTACACGATGTTATTCCTTCACCGTGGAAATCAATCGTGAACATTTGTTGAGTACGTATTTCATTAGAAAAATTTTTTACCCGCCTGCGGGATTCGAACACCGGTGCATCGCTCAACACGAATGCGCCGGACGTCTTATCCGTTAGACCACGACGACTTAAAGGTTTTTCAATATCACCTATATACCTATACCTATATCAATATAACCTAAAACTTAGTTTGGACTACGTAAATACGTGAGGTCTTGTATATTACACTGACACTAACTACTCTAGTCATTAAATATATTAAATTTTCTAACTCAGCATACTTCGATCAGTTAACAACTGCTGAATTCATATCATACCCTGTGCCTATGCTAGCGCCATTCTGGAAGATTTTTGAGCTGTTATTTAGTGCTGAAAGTGGGACACTTATTCAAGCTTCTCCCATATGAGACGGTTCTCCTTAGCTCTACCCTCCATAGCTTTCTCTCACTCACATCTTAACGCTCCGTTCCACACTCTTTTCATACTTTCCGTTCTTACCAATCCTACATTAATCT